TCAGAGTTGGTAAGACAACTCCCACCTTTTCATGCTCTCTGTATGTGTGTGTATATATATCTCCTCAATATATGTTCCATTCTATGCATCTGATGAAGTGGGTTCTAGCCCACGAAAGCTTACGCTCAAATAAATTCGTTAGTCTCTAAGGTGCCACAAGTACTCCTGTTCTTTTTGTGGATACAGACTAACACGGCTGCTACTCTGAAACTTCTCTGGACAAGGTATTATAACCTCCAGCAGGTCCAGGTAATTCTCAGCATGGGCTAGAACTGGACAAGAAACCTCCAAGGTAAGTTTTGTATGAAATCTGGGGAGCTGGACCAATGCCAATGTACACTAGCTGAAGATCTGGTTGTGGAAATAAGCTATATTATAGCATCATATTCTTAACTGGCAGAATCTTGCAGATCATAATTAAAGTACATAGCCACATATGTACTTTTCTGTTTAGAATCAGATAATAATTGGTCACACTTTATATTAAGGTTCCATTTATAAATAGTTAATAAATGATTAATACGTGTTTTAATAAATGATCAAATGACTGTCAAAGAGTTCCATTGGTTAACAGACTACATATAACCATCTATCTGTTTCATGGCTTTAAGACCAGAAGAAACCATTAGATCATTTAGTCTAACCTCCTGGATAAAACAACTCGTACACTCATGTCTGTAACATGCTTATAACGCCCAATCATGTATTAACTTTTTATAAGCCATTTACAAATGTGACTTTATCCTAAAGTTTGATTGAAACCTATATACATTTAATATGAGATTTAAATGATTATAGGTGATAACAGGGGAAGTACAAACAATGAAAATTAATTATATAGTTTCAGGAAATTACCCAGATCATTAGACAGCAAAAATTACACTTTAAGTACTGGGCGGGCACATTGTACTCTACTGGGAATAACATATATTCTGAGAAATTCCTGCTATTATTATTTACTATTTGTATTAAAGTAGCATCTAGACACCTGAACCGAGATCAGGGCCTTGCTATGCTAGACACTGTACAGATACTAAGAATAGTAAGAAACAGTCCCTGCATCAGAGTTTACAACCTAACTAGACAACCGATGGAGAAAAGAATTACTACCACCAGTTTACAGATGGAGAACTGAGGCACACAGACTTGCCAAAGGTCACGCAGGAAGTCTGTGGCAGAGCAGGAATTGAACTCAGACCCCAGTTCAATACCTTGTCCAAGGGGTCTATCCTTCCTCTCCAATGCAGATGAAATTGTTAGCAATAATGACACCAATAATTTTATTTCTTACCGGCTCTCCCACCCCAAGTCAGTGGAATCCGAGAAGTAAACAAAGGGTCTGAGTCTAATCTCATAGCTGCATAGGTCAGAAGTAACTCCCCCGGAGCCAGTGTGGAAATGAGATCAGAATTAGGCCCAAAGGGTATTTCCTGTGTGACCTTGGGCGGACTTTGGCCTATAGGAGTGAGAATTGCAGCGTACCCTAGTGTGCTGTGCTCTCACTACCCATGTGGATGCTGCTGGCATGGACTAAAGGGTAACTAGTTCACGCTAGCGCTGCCTGTATGAAAGGCGACTATATTAACATGAACTAGGTAACTTTTAGTCCACCCCAGCAGCGTCCACATGGGGCAACTAGAGTGCAACAATTTGGTGTATACTACAATTCACACCCCCAGAGTCCATACTGCGGTACCGTGTAGACCAGGGGTTCTCAAACTGGGGGTCGGGACCCCTCAGGGGGTCGCAAGGTTATTATATGGGGGGGTCATGAGCTGTCAGTCTCCACCCCAAAGCCCGCTTTGCCTCCAGCATTTATAATAGTGTTAAATATAGAAAAAGGTGTTTTTAATTTATAAGGGGAGGTCACACTCAGAGGCTGGCTGTGTGAAAGGGGTCACCAGTACAAAAATTTGAGAACCACTGGTGTAGACATAGCCTGAGGCTCTGCGTGGCTCAGGTCCCTATCTATGGAATAGCAGTGCCCTGCCTCACAGAAGTACTGTGAGAAAAAAATGTATTGAAGATTGTGAGGCAATCAGTAATGGAGTAATTGCAGTAATGGAGGCCAGATAAGTGCTTTACACACAAAATGGTTAGCTAAAGATTTGTAAAGATTTTACTCACCACAAAACTGGTCTGTTCTCCACTGCCCAACAGTGACGTTGGCTGCCTGGCAGCTCTCTGTGTAAGCGCCTAGAACCCCACACAGCACAGTCCGATTCCCCCTGGACATGCAGAGGTCATACATACAGTTTTCCACCAAGCCTGCCTGGGATAGGGTCTGAGCGCAGGCTGTGAAGGGGCCTGGAGACATTTTCATAATGCCGCAGTAGTCGTGACCAGAATAACGAGCCTGTTCAGCAGTGGGACAAGAAGGCAGCTCCTGGTCCTCCACACACTGGCGCCTGTCACCCTTCACCTGCCAGCTTGTGGCAAAGAGAGCAGCTGACGTGACTAAGGTGCCATTTGGAGTCTGGAAGTCATCGGAGGGGTCACCAGTCAGTGTCCCGCACAGCCCGCAGGTGAAGTTACGATAAGTCGAGGGCACGGTGACCTCCACACGTTGAATCCCATCATAGGAAACCTCCACCCCAAAATCAGTGGCAACTTTCACAGAGAAGCCATTTTGGTGCACTCGGATCTTCCCATTGAGAAGAGTGACCGGAAGGAGAGACTTTATCCCATTCACCTAGCAGGGGATTGATGAGAATAAAACACTGAGCTCTTCTCTAGTGATCTTCATTATAAAGTACTCTAGAGGCATTGGGCCAGATCCTCAGCTGGTATAAATCGGCACAGTTCTATTGCCTTCAGCTGAGCTACACTGATTTACAACGGCTGAAGATCATGCTCACTAGCTTATTTCTCCTCATGGCCCCGCATTATAATCTATAAGATTCTACGTGGGGAGCAGATTTCTGAGAGAAGAGGGCTCTTTAATCCAGCAGACAAAAGGGCAGAATAAAAATCAATGGATGGAAGCTGAAGAGAAAGAAATTCAGAGCGGAAATGAGATGCATTTTTTTTTTAACAGTGAGGGGAATTAACCACTGGGACAACTGACCTAGCAATTCTCCATCGCTAAGAATCTTTACATTAAAACTGCATGTCTCTTTTAAACATATATGCTCACCTTAACCAGAAGTTATAGGACTGATGAAGCAATCAATGGGTGAAATTCTGAGGCCATGCTTAATGATCATAAGGGACCACCCTTCTAGCCAAAAAAAATCTATGAATATATAGCATCTAAAGACCTAAAAACAACTGGATTTTTTTTTAAATTTACATTAGAAATCCAGATTGTGCCTACCTGAAAGACCCTATGGTCAACCAGAAAACTGAGAGGATTATGACATTAGAGATCCCTTGCTAGTAAACCAGACTGATTGAGAGGGGAAGAAAATTTCATTGAGACTGTTTAAAACTCTGTTTTGTTTGCTTGTTTTGTTAACTCCTGTTTAACTCAGAATCAAAGAATATCAGGGTTGGAAGGGACCTCAGGAGGTCATCTAGTCCAACCCCCTGCTCAAAGCAGGACCAATCCCCAACTAAATCATCCCAGCCGGGGCTTTGTCAAGCCTGACCTTAAAAACCTCTAGGGAAGGAGATTCTACTACCTCCCTAGATAACCCATTCCGGTGCTTCACCACCCTCCTAGTGAAATTTTTTTTCCTAATATCCAACCTAAACCTCCCCAACTGCAACTTGAGACCTTTACTCCTTATTCTATCATCTGGTACCACTGAGAACAGTCTTCCATCCTCTTTGGAACCCCCTTTCAGGTAGTTGAAGGCAGCTATCAAATTCCCCATCATTCTTCTCTTCTGCAGACTAAATAATCCCAATTCCCTCCAGCCCCCTAATCATTTTGGTTGCCCTCTGTTGGACTCTTTCCAATTTTTCCACATCCTTCTTGTAGTGTGGGACCCAAAACTGGACACAGTATTCCAGATGAGGCCTCACCAATGTCGAACAGAGGGGAATGATCACATCCCTCAATCTGCTGACAATGCTCTTACTTATACAGCCCAAATTGCCGGTAGCCTTCTTGGCAACAAGGGCACACTGTTGACTCATATCCAGCTTCTCGTCCACTGTAACCCCTAGGTCCTTTTCTGTAGAACTGCTGCCTAGCCATTCGGTCCCTAGTCTGTAACAGTGCCTGGGACTCTTCCATCCTCAGTGCAGGACTCTGCACTTGTCCTTGTTGAATCTCATCAGATTTCTTTTGGCCCACTCCTCTAATTTGTCTAGGTCCCTCTGTATCCTATCCCTACCCTCCAGCGTATCTACCACTCCTCCCAGTTTAGTGTCATCTGCAAACTTGCTGAGGGTGCAATCCACGCCATCCTCCAGATCATTAATGAAGATATTGAACAAAACCGGCCCCAGGACCGACCCTTGGGGCACTCCGCTTGATACCGG